TGTGTCACATGTGTGTGTTGTCAAGTTGTTTTATGTGGTCACATTGTGTGTCAGTGTGTGTGTCACTGTGTGTGTCAGTCAGTGTGTTCAGTGTGTGTCACAGTGTGTGTGTCATGTGTGTGTGTGTGTTGTCATGTGTGTGTGTCTGTGTGTGTCATGTCTGTGTGTGTCTTCTTGTGTGTGTGTGTCTTCTGTGTGTGTGTGTGTGTGTGTGTCGTGTGTGTGTAGCGTGTGTGTCGTGTGTGTGTGTCTGTGTGTATGTGTGTGTGTGTGTGTGTGTGTCGTGTGTGTACTGTGTGTGTGTGTGTGTGTGCTGTGTGTGTCGTGTGTGTGTGTCTGTGTGTGTGTGTCTGTGTGTGTGTCTGTGTGTGTGTGTGTGTGTGTAGTGTGTGTGTCACGTGTGTGTGTCTGTGTGTGTAGTGTGTGTGTACTGTGTGTGTGTGTGTGTGTGTGTGTGTGTTGTGTGTGTGTCTTACGTGTGTGTGTACGTGTGTGTGTCAGTGTGTGTGTCATGTGTGTGTGTGTGTGTGTGTGTGTGTGTGTCAGTGTGTGTCACGTGTGTGTGTCACTGTGTGTGTGTCCGTGTGTGTGTACGTGTGTGTGTCACTGTGTTGTGTGTGTGTGTACGTGTGTGTGTGTGTGTGTGTCACTGTGTGTGTCATGTGTCGTGTGTGTGTCGTGTGTGTGTCCGTGTGTGTGTCCGTGTGTTGTGTGTGTGTACAGTGTGTATGTCAGTGTGTGTGTCAGTGTGTGTGTCTCGTGTGTGTGTGTGTGTGTGTGTCGTGTGTGTCGTGTGTGTGTGTGTGTTGTGTGTGTGTGTGTGTGTGTGTGTATGTGTGTGTGTGTCTGTGTTGTACTGTGTGTGTCACTGTGTGTGTGTGTGTGTGTCGTGTGTGTGTGTAGTGCTGTGTGTGTCGTGTGTGTACTGTGTGTGTGTCATGTGTGTGTGTCAGTGTGTGTGTGTCAGTGTTGTGTGTCAGTGTGTGTGTCACGTGTGTGTGTCACGTGTGTGTCACGTGTGTGGTCTGTGTGTGTGTGTGTCGTGTGTGTGTCGTGTGTATGTCGTGTGTGTATGTCGTGTGTGTGTCACTGTGTGTGTGTAGTGTGTGTGTATGTGTGTGTGTCAGTGTGTGTATGTCACGTGTGTTTCACTGTGTGTGTGTCACATGTGTGTGTCATTGTGTGTGTGTCATGTGTGTGTGTCACGTGTGTGTGTCTGTGTGTGTGTTGTGTGTCTGTGTGCTGTGTGATGTGTGTGTGTGTGACAGTGTGTGTCGTGTGTGTGTCACGTGTTGTGTCTGTGTGTGTTGTCGTGTGTGTGTCAGTGTGTGTAGTGTGTGGTGCATGTGTGTGACTGTCGTGTGTGTTGTCACGTGTGTCAGGCCTGTGTGTGTGTCACTGTGTGTATGTCATGTGTGTGTGTCACTGTGTGTGTGTCAGTGTGTGTGACACACACACAGTGACACACACACAGTGACACACACACTGACACACACACAGTGACACACACACAGTGACACGCACACACAGACAGACACACGTACACAGTCACACACGCACACAGTCACACGCACACACACACGCAGACAGGCGCAGACACACACACACAGTCACGCACACACAGTCACGCACGCACACACACGCACACGCACACAGACACACGCAGACACACAGACACACAGTCACACACAGTCACACACACACGCACACACACAGTGGCACACACACACACACGCGCACACACAGACACACACA